GCAGTTGCATTAAAGCCGGCATGAAATGTACAACTATGTGCGGAACCTGTCGTGGGCAAAGTTGTTCGAATACTGAGCACATTCTAGAAACTATAGACGATGACAATATGTAGATGAAAGTATGAATATTAGTTTAGTGGAATAGGCAATGTTTTTCTTTATATTATACAGTATTATATCTGTTGGGTGTATATTTAGCACGTTAAAATACCTTGGAAGACTAATTTGAAAGGCGACCTGTATTTTTTTTGTACTCCATTATTCAAACGGTTATTGCTCGAAATGCATTGGATAAATATAAATAATGAATAGAACCTTTTTTGTAGAAAATTCTATAAGGAATATTTTCGGTAAGTATAAAAATTTTTTTGGGACCAACGGGTTTTGAGAAAAAAGCGAAAAACCATTGAAGTGCGTATTGGGGGTGGTTTTTTGGGGTGAAGTTTATAAGTTAAGAACTCTTTTGATTTTGAAAAGTCTCCTTTTGGTGCGTCTAATCTCAACATATCAAAACTTTATGATTTTTTTCTTCTATTCGGCTATTTTAGGTCTAATATAAATATACTATTAATGAATAAGAAGATATAATAAGCTCCCGTATAGGTATAGCGTTTAACGCCTTGGGAGTAGCAAGGTACAGCTTGCCATGCTAGAGCCGTTTCGGTATACAAGGAAGGTAATGTAGCTAGCACTACGCTTCAACCGCCTATTATTACCTCAGGATTGTGAATCCCAAGTACTCATTTAAGGCTGAGTCGACCTAGGTACCCAAACTATTTTTATTTTAATAAAAATAGTCGGCCGATGAAATGCCGCGTGTAGGATTCGAACCCACAACCTTGAGATTGGTAGACGAGAGCCTGTACCTCTACGCCACCGGGCACCACGGAATAGGAAGATATAATAACTCTAATCGTGGTGCCCACATACCTCTACGGGGTAGAGTGACCTAACTCTACAAAAGTATATCGTAAAACGGCACCATTATCGGATGATAGGGTGTAGTAACACCCTGTTGTTACGATCTGAGAACTCAATATGTATCGAAATTTGGATTGATATTATACCGTACGATCGAAAAAAACTGCGTACAGTTCGGTGGGAAATGACGATCGATGGCATCGATGACTCCATACAATTTTAGATGTAAAATGACAGCGATCGCTGACGTCGTTTTTTTCAATCATATTGTAGTTTAATACATGCCAGATATGGGAGTGACTATTTTAACATACTAAAAGCAAGTTATAATTCAGAGAGCAGACCACAGATAGATAGATTTAGTTTAAAAAATGCACTTAATTCTAATTAACTCAGTGTTTTTATTATTCACTAATACGTATAGATTGCTTTCAATCAATTTATTGATTATTTGTTTTTATCTACATTGTATATACATATAATTGAATACAGTATGTCCCCGGATTGTCTATACAAGAGGATATTTTTTTTAATATTGACATTTTGAAAAAAATGCATTCTTCATATAAAATCGCCTGTACACAAGAAAAGTGACAAAACTCAAAAAAGTCACTTTCATCAATTTTGATATAAAACGAGTCCAATGAATATGTATTTCTATCAGAAATATAACTGGTGAAACCAAAAAATTTAAACCATCTACAGAAACTTAAGAAAATCTTTTTAACTTTAACTTTTTTCTCCTGTTAAACCGGTAATTTTGAATTATGCCAGTTTTCTTGTATACAGGCGAAATGTTCCGTGTTCTTTAATGGTTAATCCTGTTTATACGATTTCAAATGTCCATGCCGTTTTAGAGAAGATGAAAAAAAAAACATGAAAGTATGGTTGAATTTGTTGAAGTTCTAAAAATCAAAAGGCAAAGTATGGTAAAATAATTTCAATTTATTTCTTGTTATTATTAATTTTGATTGACATATTTTTGCTGTATTTAAAATACCATCATTTTCCGATAACTATGATCACCCTTTCCGTAGCACTGAATTAAAGCAATATTGTGAAAACATTTTAATACACTCAAACTATGACAAGATTGATGACAACCAGACCAAGATTTTTGAACAAAATCCAACCCAGTTTGGGAAGCAACCAGACGAAATGGATGGTATATTTATTGTGTCGGAGGAGCATGCAGTAGAGGAATGCACAAATAATGTTGTGAGTTATTTTAAAGAGGATGATTTGGATTCCCTCAATTTAGAAAGTGCACGGATAGAGGAAGATTGTGATGCCCTCCACGTGGCAATGGGATACGCACAGGCAGAGGAAGTGAATGATACCCTCCCTGTAGCAATAGAGTTCACACAGGTAGAGGAAGATGATGCCCTCCCTGTTGGAAATGAAGTTATGCCGGCTGAGGATGAGTGGAATACCCTCCCTGGCAATGTCGAGGAAGATGAAAAAGAAAAATGGAATCCTTCCTTTCTCGAAGAAGAGAAATGCAACTCCTCAAGTGTACCAATGTTTTGTCTTAACAATGTGGAAGATAAAGATATACCTCCGACACAAGAAGTTACGCATATAAGAAGCAAAAGTATACGTCTATTAGACAACCCTTGTTGGAACCGACGGTTTGACTATTTTCATCGTGAAACAAACGTTCCAAGAGAAGAAACTCGTGATGAATTTAGACCCCAGCAAGTCATTTCTTGCACAACTAGGACACTGGATATGATGACCAAAAGGTCAAACGCCAAGATGGCGAAGGATATCATTATCCACCCTAGCCACCCTCCCTGGACTCGATGCTTATGAGTCATATTTTGAGTCGAAATTTGAATCTTGAATATGTTAATTAAAATTCTCTCAATTACAATCTATTCAAGAATATATATAAACGAAATTTGGTTTAAGTATTTAATACTCATTTCCAACTACAGCCTATTGCTGCCTTCCCGTTACCCTACGCCACACATCTCGATTTAGAGCGTCATCAGCTTCTAGGTTACGAGCTTCCATTGCTTCCGTAACCGTTCCGTTCCAGGATTTTCTAGGTCTACCTCTCTTTCTTCTGCCCTGGGGAGCCCATTGAAAAACTCTTTTTGGCCACCTGTTCTCCGGCATACGCAGAACGTGTCCAAACCATTTTAAGCTGGATTTTTCGATTCGATCCAGTACTGTCTCCTCCGATGCATTCATGATACGCCTGACCTCGATGTTTGTCTTTTTTTCCATTGGCTTGATATACCTGCGCTTCTTCTAAGGTAGTCCATTTCAACAACATGGATTTTGCGCTTCGCGTCTGCACTCAGAGTCCATAGCTCTGAACCATAGCAAAGAACTGACTCCACCAATGTTCTTGCAAGTCTCTTTTTAGTTGTTGCAGACAAGTTTCGGTCCCACCAGAGGCTGTTAAGACATCCAATAACTTGTTTGCTCTTCTGAATTCTGGTTTGTATTTCTACGCTTGTATTCAAGAATGAAAACGGAATTATATTACCATACAAACGCGTTTTAATTTTTATGATGTAGAAAAAATATTTTCATTATTTTTTTTAATTATCTTTTGGTCTCTAAAATTTTTTGGTTTGGGTCACTAAATTGATTATTAGAAGAAGCAATTTTTTATGAAAAATGTATTTTTCTCAAAATGTCAAAAATAAAAAAAGTTTTTCCTCTTGTAAAAACAATCCGAGACATACTGTATAGTGTAAATATACTGTAAATTGATTAGAAGTGATTGAATGTTGTTTCAACACAAAGTTTTATCCTTCAGCTCACTAAGTTAACAAGATTGAAATCGAAGTTTTTTCTGCTAGTCTGCCTTTTATCTGATCTAATCTCCATAACGCCTATCTCCGATTTAAAGATTAAAGATACATTCATTTGTAGCAGGTAGAGAACTTTTAAAATTTGCTAATTTTGGGGATTTCGTCTGAGACAAGTTTAGATATATTATACGAACAAAATTTAAAAATGTTCTGACTAATTCTAAGAGCTGATGTAAAAACATATATTTTGTATTATATTGCTATATTTGTGTCATACCCCACCAAAAAACATTCTCATTAATAATCTAAAATTAGTTTTGTAGATGTAGATCTAATTTTGTAATATTTATTATTTTTAGGTAGTATCGCTGGCTCTTTATTTCTACTTTATAGCTGCATTGTTAGGAAAACAGCTTATTCCAATAACCGATGCCACCATGAAGGGAAAATATGAGGAACCGGACATGTATTTTCCGTTTTTTACTGCATTACAGGTAATTTATAATCATGCAATTTAATATAATAAAAACGCATTAATACCATGATACCATTTTGCGACGAGAAATATAGATTTTGCAAATGCAAAAGATTTATACAGGGCGAGTTTTCTACGATGTTCTCTACGAGTATCTCGGAAACCCACTGGAGATAGAGAGTAAGGGAAAGAATTACAGTTTTGTGGGGTCATAAATATGCGCCTTTCAGATTTTTGAAAAAGTTTATGGCTTACTAGATATTTAAAAAAAATAAAATTTTGCCTATTTTAAAAATTTTCCTTAATTCCATTGTAATCTATTTTAGACAAATAGTTTTCAGATAAATTTGTAGATAATCACATCCCTAATGAGTTTGCATCCTTAATGAGTTTCTGTTTCTCTCATTTTTCTAAAGCCTGTCATTTTTGACATATGACACAAACATATGTTTTTTTTTAAATGGAAACCATAGTTGGCCATGACTTCATAAAAAACGTCATATTTTAAGTTTTTCAGCGATATAAGCTATAATATGTTTTTTTTTCGAATAATTACTTTAGTTTATAGCCAATTAGTTAGTTATAGCCAATTCTTGTCTTTGACTAATTTCACTTAGTTGGCATGTTATTCTTATTCTGTAATGATTTATAACTTATAAAAAGGCAGAATATATTATTAAACGGTTCTTTACATTACACAAACTAAACCTTGAAAAAATAATATCATTACATACACTTTAAGTTATTGTAGAGTATTTGAGTACATAAATAATTTTAAAACTAAATTACTAATTATTCTCACAGAACGACCGGTCCGGTTAATTAAACTTCTACCGTATCGCCTCTTCGAGTGCCTCTCTTAATTCATAGGTTCTTTTATAAACCTTGTTGTTTTCCGTATCGCATAAAAATATAAAAAATAACTAAAATGGATCGGTTAGGTGATCGAGGAGGCCCATGCAATTCCACTTCTTCCTATCCCTGAGTTTCCATAATTATGATTTATGATATAAATAATTTTTAACATTTCTTTCATTATAGGGGGTCTTCAAGTCATGTTGGAACCACTCTATTGATGCGAGAGTATCTAAATTTAACTTTTCTAACATGTCTTGAAAACATATTTCTAAAAAACGTAAGTAAGTAATGTTCACCGGTCAACGTATCCTCGAAAATGGAGGCATAACAGGCATGTGCTGCAGCCTGCTAAAGACTCTTTTAAATCCATTTCAGTGACTGAAATTTTATGGTCGCAAGTGGAAGAATTTTCATACATAAACGTACTATCTACGTACCATCAACGCATTAGCTATGAATAGGATGCATAGCGTCTGTTCATCAATACTCGTTTTTAAAGCAAATGCACGAAAAGTATCACGACTCGTTTAACGCATAGTATCCTGCTTGAGTCAGCTCACAGTGGTCTGAGGGCAGCTTTAAAACCTATGGTGCTAAACGACATAACTTTTATTTAATAATTTACTATAAATACTAGATGAAATACCTAATATATTTTTCTTTTGTAGTTCTGTTTCTATATTGGCTGGTTGAAAGTTGCCGAGGTACTAATCAATCCATTCGGTGAAGATGACGACGATATTGAACTCAACTGGCTCATTGACAGGCACATAAAGGTATTCAACTAATTTTACACAACATTTTGTTATGCATACAGGTTGCATTTTTAAACTGTACCACATAACTTTGTTTTTGTTGTGGACGTTTTGGTCATGAGATATAGATAAGATCTTGGCAAAAAAGAAAGTTAAATCATTTTCATTTCGATGACCGAATACATATATGGATTTAATAATCGTTTTAATGCTGTTTATTATAATATAATATGATGGCGAGGAAGTATGCCCAGGCTTTAATCTAGGGTAAAGAAAGCGATTCAAGCGGAAATATTCGCGCTAGGTCGTTTTAGTTCCTTGTTTAAGGTTATAGGGGACGCTGGGGTAATATGAACAGGTTTCTGTATATCACTCGGCTCATGTGGATTTTCTTAAAGCGGAAGACAATAAAAGTAAAGGTAATTATATTACAGTTCATACCAAATAAACTTGTAGTCGCGTGATTAAGCTTGACCGGCACAGCGTTGCCCACTTTTATAAATTTTCTTTTAATCAAAATATTTTAGGAAACAAAAATAAATTAATTATAAATATATAAACAGTTATTATTTACATCAACAAAACTCACTGTCTTGACAGCACTTAAAGGGCATAAAAGACCATTACTACCGCTTTCCCGTTCAAAATATTATAATAAAGTTGCGATGATTTTACGGCTATTAAGCTATCTCGTACATTTTGCACTAAAAGAGGTTCTAAAAAGAACAATGTTCGACTGCAAGGTCTGCTAGTAAAGTTTAAGCTTAAAGTATCACATCACTATTTATTTAAACTAAAAACTCCTAATACAAAACTAAAGTGTCAAAACAAATGACAATGTCAGGAAATAAATAAATGCAGCAAATTGACATTTTTTAAAGCAGATCTACCACCTGAATCCGTAGCGCGGTTTAAATTTAAGTTCGTCAGCCCGGCGTCGAATATGTCCATGGTTGGCAACAATGGATTTAAAAATCGCGCCCTCGATTACGTTACTAACAGTGGCGGATACAGAGGGAGGGGGCCATGGGGCCCGGGCCCCCGCTAAAATCTGTAAATTGGGTAAAATATTTGGCTTTTGGGTAAAAAATGGCGCCCTAAAAAGCAAATTCTACCTTTGCCCCCCCCCTAAAATAAATTCCTGTATCCGCCCCTGGTTACTAAAGGTTTAATTGATATCAAATATAGTACTCTTTCTCCCGATGCATCCTTGATACGGTTTACTTCGTGATTGCCTTTCTCTCCATTTTTAGCAACCAACATCTGCACTTCTTCTGAGTAGCCCATTTCAACCACTTGGGTTTTCACAGTCCATAGCTCTGAGCAACAGCAAAGAACTGACTTTACTAATGTTCGTCCAAGTATTTTCTTAGTTGTTGGAGATAATTTTCGTTTCCATCTGAGGCTATTGACATTCAATAATGGTTATTCTTCTGAATTCGGACTTATATTTCTTCTTCACCGAAACTCTCGTTGTTGGTCGTAGCACTCCATTAGTATTTAAATGTTTCTATTTGTTGTATCTGGATTACGTGTTTATTTGGTATAAACTTTATTAATCTTCGAAATGTTAAGAGGCGCGAAAATATTCTCATAGGTAACAGCATTATAGAATCTAGACCAATGGGAGGCAACAGGAAAGCATTCAAAAAGAATGTGTCTCATTGGCATTAAGTTATTGCATAATGTGCATTTCGGAGGGGGTTCATTTCTGATAATATATTACTTGGTCAGATATGAGTGTCCTTTGAGGGTTCTAACAAATTTTCTAATAACCTAACAACTTTACAGAAAGATCCGCGTTCAAGAGAATATATATTTTGATACACATGAAGAAGCGGCATAGGTATGTGATCTAAGTTTATTAGTTCCCTCGAGGATCTCCAATTCATTTCGAAGTATACTGAAGAACACTTTTTTGTAATTTCTGAACACGACAGCGGATGAAGTTCCTTCAATTTTCTGTTAGAGCGTTGCGTCGTTAGCCAGTCTAGTTGTCTGCTCTGGTTGTTACCAGCAATGTCAGAGTGTCCATGAATCCACATAAAGTTAATATTGTAGTTTCTTTTAGTAAGTTTATATACTAGATCTCGAATGCTGCAGGTTAGAGAATTTTTGGAGTTTCTTAGTTCTCCAGATCATATGAGTCCTGCGCAATCACGACTTGGTTGTCTGCAAAGCTCAGGCTAAGAGAGTGTATCGTCCCCAATTGGGATCTTCATATATGGATATGGATTTCTCCGGATTTCTCATACCTTGAAATCGTCTTTTCCATTCCTTAAAGGCTACTCCAATTTGTGATGAAGATTAGAGGAGATAAGCTGCATACTTGTCGCAACCCTTTTGTGGTGTTAATCGGATTAGATAGCCTGTGTCCTCTTCTGAACATACGATTCATTTTGTTTACAGAGCTCTTTTGTTATTTTAAGACTGATTAATTGAAAATAATAAATGAAAAACATTAACATTAAATTTCTATTGTATTATGTCTGAGTTAAATTATTATTACACTTTTTCTATTGCCGCACTAAAGTACATTTATTTTTAGTTTTAATAATGATTAGTAATAATCTATTAAAATGAGTTTGATGAGCTATAAAAGGAGTTCTGATTTATTTATAGGTATATATGATCTATTTTAAAGTTATTCTCAATGTTTATTGATAGTTTTGAAAGACATTTCTTTTGCTAACTCGGTAATATAAAGAGCTTATTATTTTTAATTTTTTCTTAGATTAATTTCTTGTTGTAAAGATATTAATTATCTGTAGTTTTCTATTACTTCTGTTTTTCTGTTTCTTTATTTTATTAATTGGTTATCAGTTGTCTAAAGATTTATTTCTCTTAACTTATTAATTTTAGCGGTTTTGCTCAATGAAATTGTGTAATTATTGATAAATTCAAGCTTCCCCTAGTATTTATATAATTGCATTTCGCAGAAATATTCTATAAATAGTTTCTACACTTTAAAAGATTCGTCGTTAACAATAACTAGAAAAATATTGTTTTGTATTTTACTGCAGAAAAAATAATCATTACTAACAGCAGCCGCATCAATACATATATACAATAGAAAATATCATTATTCACTTTCTAATTCTTCAATTTTCAATATAGTACTAATTAGATTTAGACTGGTATTTCCTTTAGTTTTGGATTAGAAGACTTTTACTTCCAATGCGAAGTAGTTATTATTAAGCAAGCAGGGAATCTTCAATTAATATCGAATACTTTAATATATAAGCACACATATTAAATACTAACTTTTATTACGGAACTTAGAGCATTTAAATTAATATTCACAGAAACAGAAATATCGCAAAGATAATCGGTAGATTAAATTTTAAGTTTAGATTTTTCTCTGTGAAACTAGCGAATGTTACACTATAATTAATTGGAATATTTATTTAAATGATTTACTATTAATTTATTGAAAGTTTTAGTTGATATTTTATTATATTATGTGATTCGAATGTGATTAAAACTTGTCCAACGAGGCAATAAAGATTTCGACAGACGACATCCAAAAAAATGATAAAAATTTCAAGATACCTGTGAATTAAAAAAAAAACAGAAACAGATGTCTGATATTTTTTCACTCAGTAGTTTTGTACAAGTACGGACAAAAAGTTATTACTCTTCAAAACAGTTAAAACACATGTAAGTGGCGCCCCCTACAAATAGGAGTCATATTCATCAAAATCAAATTTCTAGCGTCAATAACCTCCTAGGCACCAATTTTCATCCAAATATTGACGTTACTTCAGAAATTATTTGCAAAAAATCGAAATAAAAATGAAATTTATACACCCTGTATCTCCGAAACTAAGCATTTTAGGGCATACATTTATATGAACTTTTTTACTTATTTTTATCAGAAAAATATGCTGCCGAGAAAAAATTACACCCTGTATATAACATATTGGAGTCAGAGTTGGCTTGGAAATGAAGATCGCTGTTATTATGAAATAACATCATATGAATATAAAATGTTATGGTAAATCTCAATAATCGTCATTTCCAAGCCAACTAAACGACTTTTTTCGATCATACTCATATTCAGTTGTTTATTCTATGTTTAACACGAATAAATTTTCACTACATAAACGCGGACTTTTCATTCAAAGATATTTTTTTCAAACGTATTACAGATATTACACATTTTAATATGGTAAACTGTCGCTTTCAGTCGCACACGACAGTCTTCGATATGCCTTCGCTAGCTGAATTAGAGAAAATGAGTATTTTATGCGTTGGCCGCAGAACGAGTAGAGGCTCCACCGTACAGCATTTGAGTCGTAAGAGGAAATCAAATCAGCCTTATCACAAATTTGCCCATTAAAATGCAATCTTTCCAATTCTTTCAATCAACGGTATAAAAATAACATAAAACTCAAAAAACTGATTTTTAATTTACAAATGATGTTAGTGAAGGTTAATTTAAGCTTGAGCTAAACTTATGTATATTGGAAAACACGTGATATGTTAAAAATATTAAAAAATATTTTAGACAGCACGATATAGTTCGAAATATACTTAAAATTTTCCAAAATTTGTCAATATAACTTAAACTTTCTCTTTAAATGTCTTTCTGAGAAAAATATTAACCCAAATCAATACCTTTCTGCTATCGAAGTATAACCGTATCAAATAATTATCGAGGGAGAAAATCTGGACTAAATTGAGGCTAAACAAACCGATTCCACAAAATGAATCATTTTCAGCTCTCACTGAAGACGCTAATAATTCAATAAATTAGCTATAATTGATCAGATTTGATGTGTTAGATCGGAAAAAATCTAGGACGACTTAAAAAAATATTCAACAACAACAAACAGAAATATCGTACCCAGTTTGATCCGTTAATTAGTATTGCGCTTTGGTTCTGTTATAGTAGTACCCTGTAAAGCATGCCAAGGTGATTGCAAATACCGACAATCCAATATTAAAAAGAACACACGATCGTTGACACCATATTATGGGTGTATCTGACATTTATATTCCACGGATAGTTTACATTTTTTGTTATTGATCTGCCTTTCCTTATTGTTGTTTACTTGCAATAGTTTTGTAAATTTATCCCTATTTCACCATGCATATAATATCTGTACAGGGTGAGTCAACGCTAGAGTAAAATCCATTATCTCATTTGTTTCGAAGTTTACACAAAAAAATTATATATAAAAGTTATAGGGAAGGTTAAGATACACATTTTAAAATTATTATACCTAGAGTATATAAGTTACTTGTAGTATCAAAGTGTGGCGGATATAACATTTTTTTTTTAAATGCAACACCTTATTTTTTATTTTATTTTTAGATTCTGCGTAAAATTCCATAACTTTTTTGTATATAATGTTATATACCTAAAATTAATAAAAATTAATAGTTTTTGTAATATTTAAATTTGTTTAAAATGTTAAATTGCAATGTGGTAAAAAATTGTCAGTGGTGCTATTGTTTCTGAAGTTGGAGTACCAAAATTGGTTAGGAGAATTTTATAGAGATGAAACAAAAGATATATTTAAAGATATTTTAGTTAAATGTCAAATCTCAAATTTTTTAAATGGTACACCCTATATTTTATAACTTTTTCTGATAGAATTTACAAAACTCTTCAACTTTTATTAACTATGTCATATACTACCTAGAATGGGAAAAAGTTAAAAGTCTCATGAAAGAAACAGCAGATTCAATTATATCCAGAAGTCACAACACAAAACGACCCAATAAACACTGGATAACACAAAGAACTCTCGACACAATCGAGGAACGGAAAGAAATAAAAAGGAAAGGGTTAACGACGCAAAATTCTAAAGAAACCTACAGAAGACTATGCAAAAAGATCCAGGAACAATGCAGACAAGATAAAAATAATTACGTAAGGAAAATCTGCAGTGAAATCAATGAACACCAAAACTCAAACCAAACACGAGATTTATACAAGAAAATAAGGGAACTCACTCGGAAATTCAAACCTAAGACATCTGCTATCGAGGACGAAAATGGAGAAGTCTTGTGGAATAACGAGGACATATTGCAACGATGGAAACAATATTGCGAAGAACTATACAAGGACGAAGCAGACGTAGTAAAAGAAGTTCGAGTACCTCACATAATAAACGAACTGGAACCAAATATATTGAAGAGCGAAGTGGAAGAGGCCATACACGGACAGTACCTCAGTTGAAATGATAAAGTTGATAGGGGAGGAAGGTGTGAAAATAGTACATAACATCTGCAATAAAGTATGTCAGTCTCGACAATGGCCTAAAGATTGGACTAATTCTGCTTTCATCCCAATTCACAAAAAAGGATCCACACAAAAATGCCAGAATTATCGAACAATATCCCTAACGTCACATGCAAGCAAGATCTTACTTAGGATAATTGACCGAAGACTTCGGAGGTACTTGACGCCTGAAATACCTCCTGAACAAGCCGGATTCGTGAAAGGAAGAGATCAAATATTTAATATACGCCAACTCATAGAGAAATCTCGAGAATTTAGCTCGCCTATGTTCTTGTGTTTTATGAACTACAAGAAGACTTTCGATTGTGTGAGGTGGAAAAGCCTATGGAGGGTTCTGAGGCAGAAATGGGAGTTCCAGAATCATCTAGTGGCTCTTATTAACAATTTATATGACAATAATGCAATTGTCAACCTGAGATAACAAAACGTCGGAACCTTTCAAACCTAGAAAGGGGTACGCCAGGGCTGTATACTGTCACTCAGATAGTTTAATGCCTATGGCGAATACATCATGAAACGTGCTTTGGAGGGCGAGGAAGGAGGAATCCTAGTCAACGGTAAAATCCTAAACAACCTCAGGTACGCGGACGATACCACCCTGATATCGAAAAGTGAAGAAGAAATGGCCCGGTTGCTGGAAAGAGTTACCATCGAAAGCAATAATCTTGGTCTAGAAATAAACACTGATAAAACCAAACTCATGCTGATTGATAGAGAGAGAAGTTCGATTACACAACCTCCTCCCTAATATAGAAAGAGTAGATCAATTTATATACTTAGGGTCCTTAATAACAAATAATGGGGGCTGTGAAGCAGAGATAAGAAGGCTTATAGCAATGGCACGGACGGCTATAATGAGCCTAAGAAAAATATGGGCTGATAGGAACATAACCAAAAACACCAAAAAGACCCTTGTTCGATCTTTGGTGTTCTCCATATTCCTATACGGGTCTGAGTCATGGACCGTCAAGAGCGCTGATAGACACCGTACAGATGCATTTGAGATGTGGTGCTGGAGGAGAATGCTCCGTATCCCATGGACAGCTCGAAGAACGAACCAGTCAATTCTCGATGAACTCGGCATCACAGATCGATTATCCACCATCTGCCGTAGACGCATCCTGCAATACTTCGGTCATATCACTCGCAGAGGCTAAGACAACATTGAAAAACTCATTGTACAAGGCAAAGTAGAAGGCCGAAGACCCAGAGGACGATCACCATCAAGATGGCTTGACCAAATAGCAAATATCACAGGTCATCCATTTCAATCAAATCTCCGAGAGGCGGAAGATCGCCAACGATGGAAGACCAAAATCACCAGCTGCACATAGCCATAATGTCACGATTTTTCAGACATGAAGAGACGACGAAGAAGAAGAGAATACCTATTTTTAATAGTTTGCGATTTATTCCTATTTTTCTCTTATTTTTAATATAATTGAAGGGGTGGTTGCAATATAATCTAAGGCTGCAATAACCAGGCAGCTCCACTTTTTTTCGAAAATGAGATTTTTAATGAATTGCCCTAAAAAATAAAAAAATGGCCGATCATTTCCTGCAACAATCAGTTCTCTCAATATAACAGTATATACATAAATGGCGACTTTAGTTGGAGCTGCCTTGCTCTGGGTTTGCAGCAAGATCCGAGCAGTTTTCACCTTTTGGATAAGTTATAAGTTAACAGAGATACAAGGGGAGTCAAAAAAGGCACCAATTTAAAATTTGCCCTATATTTCCGGAAATAAGAGGGCTAGGACAAATATCTGTGCAGTATGTATTTGAAAGTGGCAGTAGTTGTTATGGGAAAACCGCATCTTTGAATCTCTATTCATAAACGGTAAACCCTGTAAAACATACGAAAATGGGACACCCTGTAGACTATAATGTCATTATTGTATTATGGGCTTTATTTTTTTCTAGAAAATTACATATGTCACTTTTAGTCATCATTTTATTATAAACATATCAGCTTTCAATTTCCTATGTTATTTCCTTGAAAATAATTGTTAATAACAAGTAATTGTTGTTTATTACACTTTTAACAAGTAAATGCATAAAATTATAATGGTATGTTTAACGAATGGGTTAATTTGGGATAACTTTTATTTTTAGTTCTATAAAATGTTTATAATAAATAATATTTTTATTATGAAAATTATATTATTCTTTATTTTTTTTTGTTATTATATATGTTGTTTTGTTATTATATATCCTATATAATATATTCTTCCTCTCTGTAGTAAAATCTCAGATGTGAAAGTGCGTCCAGACTATTGTCACTCAAACGAGACTTACACCTAATCTTATTGCAAGTATAGACTAGCCAAAAAAAACTGTTTTAAATTTGACTTTAGTTGACGGAATTGTTAAAAGATGGTCATATGCCTTAGACAAACAACGCTTACTCTCTCATACTTTCTAAAGAAGGGTTATTTCGATCTTAAAAGACAGTAACGAAATATACTTTTTAGTTATTGTTACTGAATCCCGGTTCTTTAATGGCACAAAAGTACCGGGATTTCCCGGTTCTAATCATTAGTGTAAATTTTGAGATTATCCACATATATTTATCAAAGTCAGACAAATATTCTATTCGATCAAACTTATATAAAGATTATAATTTTTGGAAATCAGAACAAACATAAAACCAATTTTTTTACAACGAAAAATAACCTTCTACATGTTACTGTTTTAGACAGCCAAAGTACATTGATCTAAAATCCTATTTAAATAAATTTGATCTTCAAGTTGTAGATATCTATATAATATGACGAATTAATATTAACTTGATGGATATTTTTAGGCTGCTTATATTATTGTGGACGAAATGCACGAAGAACACCCCGAACTGCTTAAAGATCAGTACTGGGATGATGTGGTACCGAAAGAGATTCCCTACACAGTCGCCTCAGAACACTATAGACGAGAAGAACCTAAAGGTTCAGCCGAAACTTACAAAGTTAAGACAACCGATGCCCTGTATGCCAATCTTTTGCCACAAGGACATTTTAAAAAAAGTATTGTGGACGATATGTATGCAGATTATGTAAGTATTATTTATAAGTCCATTAGGGTTAAATTATATGTTTTGGAGTGTCTATTAGCTTTAGAGATTTATTGTGGTTCTTTTAACATTTTCTAGTAATATCCTTTTAAAAAGGTCTAAAGCCTGGTTGACACGGTCAAAATGCATATGGAGTGTACTTGGATGCTGCCACATAACTGTAACTGAAAATAAACAAGACCGTGTTAACCTGCTTTAATTATTGTTTGCAACCCTCTATTGGCTCAGTGCCAATGGCTCGTCATTACCTAATACAAAGAACAGCATATTGGTCAGGCTATCTCACTGATAAAAATGGATTCTGACGTTCCTTTCTTTCGTGATTGACAAAATCTGTACATGGCTTCATTCGTCAATCCCATCAGCTTTAGATGCCTATTGATCTTAGAAAACCCTGATAGTAGCCTCGCTACTTTTTATATCCATAAGTCATAATAGTACCAGTATAGTAAACTAATAACAAAAGAACTAACAATTGTGATTGTTTTGATACATAATATTTTGTTGCTGCTTTTGAATTATGGCATTGCCAATATCAGCTTTCCAATATTCCTTTTTCATTCCGACAAATTCATATTTTTTTCTATATCATCATCATTTTCAGCTTATTCGACCATTTCCAATTATTGCGTAACTTCTCTCTCATACGTTCTTTGTAATTGGGCCCATTGTTGTTTATTGTTGGCTATGCGGGCCCAAGTCATTCCTGCTAATTTTCCCATGTCCCATCTCAGGTTCTCATCTTCTAGGTCTCTTAATTCTTCGTAGGAACCATGCTGTTATTTTTATGGCCCATCTGTTGTTCGTTCTTCTTGCCAGGTGTCCTGCCCATTGCCATTTGAGGGATTTAACTCTGTGGATGACATCTACTACCTGGGTCGTTTTTCGTATTTACTCTATTCTTTCACGTCTCTCTTGGGTTATTCCCAGCACATTTCATTCCATTTAGCGTTATGCAGCCTGCAGTTTCCTTATAATATTCCATTTTAAGTGTCCAGATTTCGCATGCATAGGCTATGGCCGGTAGTACACATTGGTTGAATGTTTTCTTCTTTACCCACTTTATTGCTGGCTTTATTTATTACATTTTTCTATATATTTTTCTCTAAATTTGTATGTGTAAATTGTAATCGAGTTTCTCTAAAACGATTTGACTAATTAAAACTAAGTATATTAGTATTTAACAAAGAATATACTTAGATATTATTAAACATAGCTGTAACAAAAAATATACTCGTATTCAAGGATAATCAATATTAAAAGCTTTAATATATCACATTTTTCTTATGTCAATAAATTTTATGCAAAACATAGTTTATGCACATATGTAAATGTCTATTCTATATATGTGATGTTCCAATGACTGATTCTCTTCAAAGTACTCTTATTTTAATTTTAGATTAGTCTGTTAATTAACAAATATTATCTTTCGTGTCACTGAACATCAGATAATAATTAATAAAATCACCTTGCAATTAATCGTTGTTATGGGAAAATGTCTTGTTTCATTCTGTATAAGTATAAACATTATTTCTCTAAAAAAAATCATTATGGGTATTTCGCCACTGCATTGCAAGAAAATGTCCGTTTAGGTTTAACGCAGAAGTTTTTACAAAAAATAACTATATTTTATTTTGTAGATTTTCTTGCAGTGCATGTGGCAAAATACCCATAATGAATTTTTTTGGAGAGATGAATCCGCCACATAGGTATAGATATTTTTTATAAACATTATTCATTCAAATGCATTTGTTTATATCTAAAATTTGATTTGGTTAATTATTTCCTCAACATCAAGCTCCAAAATCAATTTATCGAGTTTTATTATTGAATTCTTTTATTGTTTCAGATCTATTTTACATTTGAGGTTGGTATTATTTTAGGTAGCTATTTGATTTTCAGGTTTTTATTAAATTTCGTTGAATACTATTTGAAAATAACTAATTATCTTGATAATTACAAAAATTATACTTATTCGATGTTAAGAATTGCCTAATAACCTTGTCGGTATAGTAGACAGAAGCTTTGCATGTTACAATTTCAGGCAGTTTCATCTCCAATTAATAAAATATTAAATTAATTTAAATCTATTTATTTTAAAAATGTATTATTTTTTTTAATTTAAATTGTGTTATTAATTTTGTAATTGCTACCATAAATGGTGTGCTAATATAATGCAAAAAAAGATAAGAATATCGTCTTATATAAAATTCAGTTCATCGCTGAACGATCTTACAAGATCGCAATTTTTATAAACATTTCTCATTAGGTAACTTTTATTTGAAGTGTCCAGGGGAAAACCTGATAAGCGCCATTTTACTAATGTAACAGGAGATTACTGGATAGGTGGTGGTTATTAGGTTCTTCCCCTGTATGTATATTTTTACTAGGCATACATCATAGGATTTAATACCTTATTGCCCTGCAGAATTTATTCGTTTTGTAGGGACCAGTTAGATCTACTATAATATTGCAAAATCCTAAAATTAAGAAATTGGCGATTATAATGGGTTTTTTTCCCAGGACCCTTCGTTTTATAACTTAATTTTCTTTGTTTGCAAGGCTGCCACACTAAAATCGGCTTTGAGATCGACAATGAGTGCCTGCTTTATATGTTTATGTTATTTTGAAGTAGAGAATTTTTTTTTGAAGAAGTATATTTGGCTGCCGACTTGAGGGTACCGGATTCGAAAGCTATTTAGTTAAATGAAAATATTTATTAATTTAATTACTTCAGGTATAACGTTTCAATTATTGATATTCGGATTTGGGGATGAAATATAGATCCAATGTACGAGTGAAAAACAGATGAATCACAGCATAAGTGCATACAACCGGTTTTCTAAGCTTTATGGTACTATATAAGAAGAAGGTAGATTGCCTGACAATTAAGAAATCCTACCGACTGCGCCAATTTAGTTATCTAATAAACAAGGTTATTTTTTTAGAAATTAAAATATATATTGAAATTACATTAATTAATTTTTCAATTTGAACAAACAATTTGAAGAACAACAAATCTCTTATTAGTGTGTTACAGTGTTACATTAAAATTAAGTTTGATATTTCAAGTTTTTCTAATTTGATTTTGGAATTTGATAATTTTTAATTAATTAATATGCTTTAATAGTTTGGAATTAATAGATTGGAACATCCTATAGCTCATAACTAAGCCCTTTTATAGCTTCGGCATAAAGACAATTTACCTTAAATTAAATCACCCTATGCATTTATTACACGTTCTTATTCAAACTTAAACCTTAAAGAAAATAAATGTTTTTATTTTGTATTGCAGGAAAGCGTAGATACACCGATCGTTGAAAGAAGAAAAAGTCAAAACTGGTTCAGCAGACAGATCTCCAGAACTGGAATGGGATCGATTCGGTCAGCCTCCTGACCGCTTACTCGTCTGGAGGACTATTTTTCCAGGCCGAGAGGCAATTCCGTCTATGCCAATCCAGAAAATGGACAAATACACATACCCCATCAAAAGATGTCTATTTATGATCGTTTGGTTGGAAGAAGATCCGGAAGGAATCAGAAATTCAAACCAAGTAAGTTTAATGTATCTATTGTCAGTCAAGAAATATAAAAAAATATACGAAGAAGTAAATTAATGAAGAAACAATGAATTGCAGACTATTCGTTGTTAAAAAACTACTGATGTGTTTTAAACTGCTGGATTACGGGATGTCGTTGCAGCCACCTCTAATTCGTTTATTTGATGTTACAGCGTGCTGTCTTTTTAGCCCAGATATAACATTTCGACGTCTTTGATAACATGCACGTCAACTTTTATTGATTTTTCTATAAAATCGTACTAATGCTGTATTTTTACTATACGCCCAAGTAGCATTTATCTGACTTCGAACTAAAACTGACCTGAAGCGACGTCAGACTTTGTGCAAATTTAGATCGGGTGCTGGTGATAGGACCTGTGACGTCGCTTTCCCATTAAAAGCGATGTCGTTGGATCCGAGTCGGTAAATCCAACGATCTGTCGAATTACAAAATAACAACGTACCATTTTTATTAATTTCCCAACGTCGCGCGTCGTTCCCACGTTGGCTTGCACGACGTACATATACTTGAACTAGCCCGACGTCTACCCGTTGTCCGAATGGGATACGTCTCACTGATAATTCCTAAAGTAACGTCCAATTATATTTTGTTTTATTTTATGTTCATATTTATAACCTAATTTACATATCTCTATTTACGTCCGTAAATACAACCCAAACATAACCTAATAAAAAGTTTTTGTAAACAAACTTATTTTTTTTTATTATGCCTAGAAAATACTCAAAAGGCATTTAGACATTCATCTACATTTTACAGAAAAATGCTCTGTGGCCAACGACGGATGCTCCTACGTATGCCGGCCGATCGCAAATTTTACGTGGCGTACGTTGGAATTATATACGTCATAATACGATTGCCGGTCGTCCGGTTTGAGCGACTTCGGTCATGTGAGACGACTAATGTTGGAGGCCCGGTCGGAATTGGTATATTGGTAGTTCATATTAGGTCGGACAGAAATCCGCCATTCTTAACAAGTATCCGATTGTCAGCCATTTTAAAATCGTTTTTGTTTTAAAATTTATATTCACATTCCGGTTTCTAGTAGAATAATATTGATAAGGTTGAGTTTGGGGGAACCACAGGTACAGTTTTATGATTAAACCAGCTAGAAAATTAAAAAAAAATATATTTTGCGAGTTACTTTTTTATAGATATTTTTATTTCATAAATCTACCTAATTTTGAAGGCGCTCGTTGTTTTCCGGAGTATTTTAATCAGGTATATCAAAAAAGTTACTTCCGTTGACAAAACTGATGTCTGGATTAATGATTCAGAATTATTATAATATGAAATTAGGTAAGCACTTACACTCGTAGTTATATTCGAGGAGTGATTATGAATCCATTATGTATTCTTGGTAGCGAATTTGAAACCAAACATAACGTAAGTGCTTAGCGACGAATTTTAAGTGACTGAAATCCAATGTAATATAACGTTGGTAATTGGTAGAATTACATTCCCTATTAGGTCAGATACCGACGTCGAGGCGACCCGAATCTGTATTCCCCATTTAGGTGCAAATAAGGGTCGTCAGGCGGTCGAACCGACGCGACGGCGACGTTGGTACCCGACGTCGGGTTTATTGAACGCGACGTATACCCGACGTTGTGATAACGTCCAAATGCTACTTGGGCGACCTCACGCTTATCTTTTAACATTTAAACCAAGATAAACTTAACATCCTAGTTTATCATGGGTGAGTTTATCATAAACTCAATCGTTTTACGAAACAAAACCTGTAACAGATTTCTAGTATTTTCTGAGAATTTATATGGTCTTACAGCAAGAGATTTTCGGTACCTAACCTATAATCCTGCTATTGTAAATTGTATGGGAGGGGGGAGTTATTCTTCTGGACCCTATCATCTATTGTGTTCACCTTTCTGGAGTTATAACTCATTATAGAATCTCAGGGCATTGACAAAGGCCAGTATCTGAAACATAATCCTACTATGCCAATATAAAAGTAACTCCTCGGATCAGTAATCACCTAAAGATATGTTGAAATCAAGAGGGGTTCAACATTATCTTTTTTACTAATAGTATTATTTCAATCTGTAATCTTTATGTCAATCTGTTTTCATTTTAGGTCAAAAATTTGCAGGAGCTTCGGCTATGAACGTTAAAATCGACCACGAATACCAACAATTCGATGTAACGAAAGAAGTGATCGAGAAAGAGAATCGTCAATCGATGTCCACTCTCACGAATAACAATATGACACAACAGCAACCAGTTTCACCTGGTTTGACAGTCATGTCTCATCAATTACCCGCTTATCCGGGTTATCCTTCGGGAGATGTTCCCGTTGTACAGCAGGTAAATCCATTATGTTTACTGAAATAAAAATAATCGTATTTTGCAATATATGGTAAGATGAGAGGTTGTTATTCTAAAAATTACTTTACACATTCTTTCAACGAATTTCTAGGATGTTAGAAAACTCCTAGAAATCAATTATGTTTTAATGTCCTTATGCTGAATAATATACTTCTCGGCCATAAAAATCTTCCAGTATTATCAATATTAAATGCTGAGATCAATAAGCCAAAAGAATCCTAACCTTCTAGTGATCCCATTATTAAAATCAATGGCACACTTTCTTTCAATGTGTCTGGTACAGTAAAGGTCCCAAATTAGTCAATGCTAACAATTACTAGTAAACATTCACTGACTTGTTGACATACATGTTTACCTTTAACTAGTAAATGCTTGCGTTCAAATTCGGTTAGTTTTGTGACTTTTCTAGCTACTGTCCATAACTTTACTATCCGGAAATTACAGAGCTAATATTAAAATAAGTTTTAAATTCTAGAACTGGTAAAATCAAATCTACGGTTAAAATTCATATAGTAACTAGATTTCTTTTACATTGTGTGGTACCGGTAGTGTAGTGTTACATATCTCATATTCCTCGTCAAAATTTTTATTCTGGATTCCTGCTTATGGAATTACGTAAGCCGATTTTTCTAAAGTGAGTACCCTTAAATGAGTAGATGAGATTGATTTTTGATGTCAATATATCTGAATGATCTGAATGTCAAGATAATAATAGGCGGTTTAAACCACATTACCTACTTACTACATCGAAAGCTTGTGTGCAGTTTCACATGGAACGTATTGTTCGTTTTTACTATCGGCATTGATGCTGACACACGTTTTAAATTTTAAGTTACGGCGCTTAGTGTTGTTACCAGACGTATATTGCGCTTCCATGTGAACATAGTCATCTAAACTCGTAGTACTTGTTCAGGACAGTCAGACAGTCAGGACGGACGATACGCTCTATCTGTAACGGCATGGCATCCAGTGTAGCAAGCTGTACCTTGCTACTCTGCTATTAAGAGCGTTAAGCTCTGGCGTTCAGATATTGAGTGTAAAAACATACCTTGGGCATAAAAGCATGGGCATAAAAATTATTTCCGTAAACTTTAGAAATTAAAAGATATTATTCCAGAGAAGGAAATCCTAATATCAATTTAAACTATTGAGAGAAGGATTAAAACTATCTGAAGTTGTTACATTACTTCCAGGCTCCAGACATTTATTCCTATACATTCAAAACCTGAACGGAGGTAGCTCAAAAAAATATTAACTTAAATTGGCACATTTGTCACTTTTGTGTTAGATTAGAAGAACAATTCACCATGTCATTAAAATATGCTTTATATGTTACTTATTTGATATAATCCAACCTATTATTTGCATTATAGGTCGTACTGTCACCCATCCAGGAACTCGACGGCACCGGCTCCGTAAACAACACACTTCACGCCCATTCACCCGGAACCGCAGCTTTAGCACAAGCCGTCCCTGTCACCCACCTTGGGACCATTGCTCACCACCCCAGTTAGCGTCCCCATGACCGTGTCCCAACTCACCCAACTGGGCATAAATTCGGCACATAACAGCCCCCTCTTAGCTAGAGCATTTGATACGCACAACATTAAAAAGCCCACTTTTATCCAGGCATTCGAGCATCCAAAAGCTGTCAGCCCTGCACAACCTTTGACGCTGACAGAGTTACCTACTCCGGAAGTACACCAAGACGAAGAGCAGGTTGAACAAAGCGGTTCTTCTGGAACATCGGATTTTTCACATCAGTCCAAGGATTCTATCGGATCAAATGTGTCTAATACAACTGCTTCTATGTCTTCTAAGAAGTCTCTACAATTAAGGGAGGCAAAAGATAGAATTGACGGTTCTCCGTTACCTCCGTCTCCTCCAACGATCATAAGTAATTTGGAGGAAGGAGACAGAGTTGTGTCTCTAACGCCAAGCGCTTCAGCACCTAATTCGTTGAATTCGCTTAGTGGAGCTCAACCAGTCGCGGAAATCCCTAAACTCAGAAAAATATCAGCTGTAATAAAATACCAACTCTCCAAAAAAGAGGAGAGGTATACGTATGATTTTTTAGTGAGGATTCAGACATTTTTTAATTAGTAAATTGGTGTGATTTAATTTTATATTTGGAATATCAATTATTTTGATCTAATTACATTCCTGTGTCTAATATAAGATCTACTGATATTTCTAAGTTATATTTAATTTACAAATATTACTTTTTTATAACTATATAACCATTTAAAAGAATACATTATTGCCTTTCTTTGAATAATTATCAAAATGTGTGAAATTATTATTGTTGGGTGGAAGCTTTTAAAAGCTAAAGCGCTATGTAGCTGACTTTTGTGATATTTTTTGTTATTTAAAATGCCAAAAATGGTATTTTAATTAGATTAGCTAATATTTTTACTGTTATTGTTGAAAAAATATTTGTGAAATTTTACTAAATTAATATTTTATTATTTAATATATATTTATAATGATCTTGCATATTGTCAGGATCTGCGTTTTTAAATCCATAAGTAAAGGGTCAAATAAGATAAAACGTAACATACTAAACTATGTAATAATTGTGTGTTATTATTTATAATTCTAATATTTTTTGTTGGGGGTGATAATATTATTCACAAGTACTTATTTCGGATAACTACTAGTTACTGTATAAAATTGTACATATTATTATGATTCTTTTTACGATGTATATGTTAAATATCAATCTATTGTCTGTATAAAAAATAAAGTTCTTATAAATATATTTTTGTTGCTTTAACTTTTTCAGTATGTTTCTCATAAAAGTTTTAATTCTATAAGTACTCACACAACTATGACACGCTTTGTTATTTTCTAATTACGGTACAAGCCGTCCTTTCACCCATCTTGATACCATAAATCTAACCAATTCTCATGAATATGTCCCAGCTCACCCAGCTGGGCATAAACTCAACACATAACAGCCCCCTCTTAGCTAGAGCCTTTGATACGCACCAGAGAGAACACTAATAACTAAAGTGAGAGAGACCGATCAACGTTAATTTTTGAAGACTGTGTTAGTGGCGCGGCCTTTGGCGTCTAACCCGAACTATGAGCGCATTATCGATATAGTAGGTCGCATTTATACCTATATACTGGCGCCAAAAATTTAAAATTTGTATATTTGAACCGAATCTTAATCTTTCAAGTTTATAATAAGAAATCTTCGTAGTTTTTTTAGATTATTTTGTTGACAACGAAAATTTATTATTAGACTTTAAAACCTATAAATAAAATACTGTGTAGGAACATAATAATTTATTTAACTTAGTTTGGTTTTCAGTTTTTGCAGAATTCATTTACCAGGTCTTTGGTGGGTTGTGGATTGTTATGCCTTTTCTTGAACTAAAAATAAATAAGTTCAATTTTTCATTAAGGTTTAATTTTACATGCTTACCAGTTTAGGTAATCCGTTTCTGTACATGTCGTAGTGGAGCCCATACTCCAACTCAAGGCTGCAATCTTCAATATCTTTTTTATCTAACTTGGTTGGGAGTAAACAGGGAAGCACGGTTGGGAGTTCGCACAGAGTATCAGTAGGTATCCCGTAGGTATTCAATGTTTTTGATAGTCTTTATTCTATACCAAGAATCTATCAGTTGAAAAAAATAATTTGTATTACTGGTAATTGTTAATAATACCAGGTATAATACCTAGTCGTTCCATAGGTATCAGAAAAGAATAAGAATGTGATGTTTTACTTTTACAATTGGATTTATCCCATAGATTATGCTTACCTATGTAAATTAGCAATGTACGACTATTAGTACGAGAGCTAGCAACGTCGGAAAAAGAAGTATTTTAAGACGTCTGGCTCTTTGATATATCTTTTACTATGCTCTCTAGAACAGCATGCGGCTCGTCTGGCTGCCGGTAAACGTTGTGTTCCCTACTGCACATTGAAAGAAGATTCTATATTTTATTAGTCATTTTAAATTCTAGTATTGAATATAAACCGACCGAGTCTCCATAACTCAATGCGTAGAGTTTCAGACCACGAGCCGAAAGGTCAGAGTTCGAATCCGGGTCAGGACAAAAACTTTTTATTTTATTTTTGTTTATATTCTGATAGTAAAGTATTAAATATTGTTTTTTGAATTACCAGAATTATTTAATACTTTACTATCAGAATATATACGAAAATAAAAATAAAAAAGTCTTTGTCCTGACCCAGATTCAAACTCTGAATCGTCGGTTCGTAGTCGGAAACTCTACGCACTGCGCTATGGAGACATGTTCGATTTATATTCAATACTATAACCCCATAGGACTAAATTAAAAAAATATAGATCTTCTTCCGACGCGCAGTAGTGACACAACGGATATCGGCAGCCGAACGGCCGCATACTGTCTCAGAGAGAGCATAAAAGATATATCAAAGAGCCAGACGTCTTAAAATGCTTTCTCGAAAACGTTGCTAGCTCTTAGACTATATTATGTGCACTCACTATTACTATTAGGTATTTTACAATAATTACCGAGATAAAACTTACCTTTAAAGGAAACGTTTTGTCTAGATCTCAACCACAAAACAAAAATTACAAAAATGCCGAATAATCGTGGAATCTCAAATAATCAATAATGACAATCATATGACAATAATCTCTTCTCACAAGCTAAACGAACAGGTACATTCTGTCAAAAACAATTTATTACTCCGATTATCAACAGATTTCCGTTATCTCCTTCTAGAGCTAAGAAATAGAAAAAGCTACTGACAATCTAATTAATCCTGTCAAATGCTTAA